GGGTAAATCTTTAAAAAAAAAAAAAAAAAGATTATCCACAAGATCATTTCAATAAATATCAAAAAACATCTTGCAAAACTAAACTGTCTCTTTATAATGGAAAAACATACTTTTTAAAAAAGATTTATTTATTTGGAAGTCAGATGACCGAGGTTTTTTTTTTTTTTTTTTTAAGATTTATTTATTTACTTGAGAGGCAGAGTTACAGAGAGAGGGAGAGACAGAGAGGTCTTCCATCTGATGGTTCACTCCCCAGCTGGCCACAATGGCTGGAGCTGAGCTGATCTGAAGCCAGGAACCGAGAACTTCTTCCTGGTCTCCTATGCAGGTACAGGGGTCCAAAGTGAGTGCTTGAGCCATCTTCCACTGCTTTTCCAGGCCACCAGCAGGGAGCTGGATCGAAAGAGGAACTGCTGGGACTCAAACCGGTACACCCATAAGGGATGCAGACGCCACAGGCGGATGCTTAACCTATTTACACCACAGTGCTGGCTCCAAGAGAGAGATCTTCTATCCACTGGTTCACTTCCCAAATAGTTGCAATGGCCAGGGTTGGGCTGGGCTAAAGCCAGGAGTTTCATCCAGGTCTCCTACATGGGTGCAGGGGACCAAGTGCTTGAACCATCTTCTGCTGTTTCCCCAGGCACGTTATCAGGGAACAGGATCTTAAATGGTACAGCTGGGACTTGAACCGGCACCCATATAGGATGACAGAACTGAGGATGTTGGCTTAACCCAGTATGCCACAGCTCTGGCCCCAGCAAATACTCCTATCAAACTAGGAATAGAAAGGAACTTCCTTAATCTGATAAAGAATGTTTACCCAATAATACATAGCAGACATCATACTAATTAATAGAATGTTAAGAATTTATCTCTGAGGCCGGCGCCGTGGCTCACTTGGTTAATCCTCTGCCTGTGGCGCCGGCATCCCATATGGGCGCTGGTTCTAGTCCCGGTTGCTCCTCTTCCAGTCCAGCTCTCTGTTGTGGCCCGGGAGGGCAGTGGAGGATGGCCCAGGTGCTTGGGCCCCTGCACCCGCGTGGGAGACCAGGAAGAATCACCTGGCTCCTGGCTTTGGATTGGCGCAGCCCAGCCATGGCGGCCATTTGGGGAGTGAACCAACACAAGGAAGATCTCTCTCTTTCTCTCACTGTCTATAACTCTGTCAAATTAAAAAAAGGAATTTTATCTTTGGGAATGAGGGGCTGGCCCTGTGGCTTAGTGGGTAAAGCCACCACCTGCAGTGCCCACATCGTATACAGTTTGAGTCCTGGCTGCTCCACATCCAATCCAGCTCTCTGCTGTGGCCTGGGAAAACAGTGGAAGATGGCCCAAGTTCTTGGGCCCCTGTACCCGTGTGGGAGATCCAGAAGTCCCTGGCCCCTGGCTTTGGATCAGCCCAGCTCTACCTGTTGCAGCAATTTGGGGAGTGAACCAGCAGATGGAAGACCTCCCTCCCTCCCTCCCTCCCCCCCCCCTCATAACTCTGCCTTTCAAATAAATAAATAAATCTTAAACAAAAGATTGAGAATGAGATACAGATGCCCATAGTCACAATTTCTGTTTAACAGATCTTGTGGCTGCCCACAACAGTTAGAGCTGGGCCACGCTGAAGCCAGGAGCCCAGGCCTCCTGTTTGGGTTTCAGGGACCCAAGCACTTGGCTTGGGTCATTGCTTCCTCCCAGGTCTCATTAGCAGGAAGCTGAATAGGAAGTAGAGAAACCAGTATTTGATGACCTCACATGCCATGCCTTAACCCACTACACCACAATGTCCGCCCTAGGCCAGCTTTAGAAATATAAAAAACTTTAAAAAACGTGTTTTCCAGGGTCAGCATTGTGGCATTAATGGGTAAATCCACCACCTACAGGCCGGCGCCACAGCTCACTAGGCGAATCCTCCACCTGCGGCGCCGGCATCCCAGGTTCTAGTCTCAGTTGGAGTGCCGGATTCTGTCCTGGTTGTTCCTCTTCCAGTCCAGCACCTGGCTCCTAGCTTCGGATCAGCGCAGCGTGCAGGCAGCAACACACCGGCCGCAGCGGCACTTGGGGGGGTGAACCGACGGAGAAAGGAAGACCTTAGACCTTTCTCTCTCTCTCTCCCATATTGGCACCAATGAGCTGGCTGCTCCACTTCCTATCCAGCTCCCTAGGAAAGCAGTGGAAAGGCCCCTGCATTCACTTTGGAGACCTGGAAGAAACTCCTGGCGCAGCCGTTGTGACCATTTAGGGAATGAACCAGCAATGGAAGATTTCTGTGTCTCTCCCTCTTTCTCTCTCTCCAGCTCCACCTTTCAAATAAAGAAATCTTTAAAAAAAATTAAAGTGTTTCTGTACATCAGCTAAGCAGTTAGAAAATGAAATTTAAAATGACATTCCTACATATAAATTGGTACTTAAAGCTTTGATACAGAAAACTGTAGAATATTATTCAGAGAAATTAAAGACCTAAATTAAGAGAGATGCATATTTATAAATTCAAATTGTTGTGAAGAAGTCAATCTTCCCAAATTCATGTATAGACTGAGTATATCTGAATCAAAATCCCTTTTAAGTTGCTTGTATGCACTATTATAAAACTGGTTGCATGTAGACAGGCTCATTCTTTTTTTTTTTTTTTTTTTTTTTTTTTGACAGGCAGAGTGGACAGTGAGAGAGAGAGACAGAGAGAAAGGTCTTCCTTTGCCGTTGGTTCACCCTCCAATGGCCGCCGCAGCCAGCACGCTGCGGCCGGCGCACCACGCTGATCCGATGGCAGGAGCCAGGTACTTATCCTGGTCTCCCATGGGGTGCAGGGGCCATCCTCCACTGCACTCCCTGGCCACAGCAGAGAGCTGGCCTGGAAGAGGGGCAACTGGGACAGAATCCGGCACCCTGACTGGGACTAGAACCCGGTGTGCCAGCGCCGCTAGGCAGAGGATTAGCCTAGTGAGCCGCGGCGCCAGCCGACAGGCTCATTCTAAAATGTACGTGGAACTAGAAAAAGCCAGGGATTTCCAAGATATTCTTGAAGAATAACAAGGTAAAGTGACTTATTCTCTTGGATATCAAGACATTATAAAGATGAACTAATAATAAAACTATTAGATAAACTAATAAAGACTGTAATACTGGCACAAGATTGATAAATAGACTGTAGAACAGATTAAAGAGCCCAGAAACAGGCGTGCAAACATGTGGACACTTGATCTGTGACGAAATGGTTCTGCAGAACACTGGAGAAAGAAAGATCTTTGAAATCATAGTGGAGGCCGGCGCCGTGGCTCAATAGACTAATCCTCCGCCTTGCGGTGCCGGCACACCGGGTTCTAGTCCCGGTCGGGGCACCGGATTCTGTCCCAGTTGCCCCTCTTCCAGTCCAGCTCTCTGCTATGGCCCGGGAGTGCAGTGGAGGATGGCCCAAGTCCTTGGGCCCTGCACCACATGGGAGACCAGGAGAAGCACCTGGCTCCTGCCTTCGGATCGGCGCGGTGCACCGGCCGCAGCGTGCCAGCCATGGTGGCCATTGGAGGGTGAACCAACGGAAAAGGAAGACCTTTCTCTCTGTCTCTCTCTCTCACTCTCCACTCTGCCTGTCAAAAAAATAAATTAAAAAAAAAAATTATGAAATCATAGTGGAGCCATCAGTATAGGAGGGAAAAAACTCAACTCCTACTCCATACCATGGACAAAGTCATAGTGTTCTAGATCTAAAGATGAGAGAATATAGAAGAGAATGCAGGTGATTATATTCATGAGCTTGAAGTAAGAACAAGATGAATTTAGAGAGCAATGACCATAAAGGAAGGTATTGCTAAATTAAACTACATTAAAATGAAGAACCGTGAGGCTAGTAGACATGGGTTGTAGCATTTAAATCATGGCTGTGAGCACCTGCAACCCATAAAGTGCCTGGTTTGGGTTTGCAATCCATCTTCCTGCTAATGCATACCCTGGGAGACTACAAATAATGGCTCCAGTACTTGAGTTCCTGCCACCTATGTGGGATACCCACATTGGGTTCCAGGCTTCTAGCTTCAGTGTGGACTAGCCCTGGCTGTTGTGAGCATCTGGGGAATGTACCAGCAGATGAAAGAGGTCTTTGTGTGTTGTATGTGTGTATCTATCTCTCCCTTTCTTGCTTCTCAAATAAAATGAAAATAAAATTTTAAGATTGATTTATTTGGAAAGCAGAGTTATGCAGATAGAGAACACGCTCCAGATACAAAGACTGATCCTTCATCCAGGTCTCCCATGTCGCTGGCAGAGGCCCGAGCACTTGGGCCACCTTCTACTGCTCTCTCAGGTACATTAACAGAAAGCTGGACAGAAAGTGGAGCAGCTGGAACTTGAACCCCAGTGCTCATGTGGGATGCCAGCATCATAGGCAGTGGCTTAACCTGCTGTACCACAATGCCAGCCCCAATAAATAAAAATTTTAAGAAGTTAAGAACTTCTCACCAAAAGACACAATTAAGAGAAAATAAAAGATTGTGGCCAGCATTGTGGCACAGTAAGTTAATAATATTGGAGTGCTGGTTTGAGTCTTGGCTGCTCTGCTTCCTACCCAGCTAATGTGCCTGGGAAAACAGTGGAAGATGACCCAAGTACTTGGGCCCTGCCACCCATGTGGGAGACCCTAGTGGAATTCCTAGCTCCTGACTTTGGCTTGGCCCAGCCCTGGGCACTGCAGCCATTTAGGGAATGAACCAGCAGATGGAAGATGGATCTCTCTCTCTCTCTCTCTCTCTCTCTCTCTTTCTCTTTCTCTTTCTCTTTCTCTTTCTCTGCCTTTGAAATAAATATTTTTATTAAAACGTTAAGTACCAGACATCATGACACTCCTAAGGACGATGACAGTCTCAAAAAAAAATAATATTACCACAAGAACTGTAACATTGAGTATAGACAAGGTTAATAACCTTAGTTTTAGGTACATCAAATCCAATTTTAGATTATTGAACTTGCATTACTTAAATAAAAATTTTTATCAAGATCTGGCTATTTTTTCTTTTCAGAAATCATATTCCATGCCCATTGGCATTGAATTTCAGCGGAGATATGCAACAATTGTTCTAGAACTTGAACAGCTGAATAAGGACTTAAACAAAGTTTTGCATAAAGTTCAACAGTACTGCTATGAGGTGGGTAATTTGTATGAATTTACCTCTACTTTTATATCTGGCTTAATGTTTTTACCTATGCATCTTAGAAAATCCAGGGAAGCCATTATCTTTGTAAGGTGTTTTACCAGAGTCATATTTTATATGTATTTTTATTCCTCATAGCATCAGTGTGGAAGAGCACTTTATACATCATAACTCATCAATTCTGGATTTTTTTGTTTTAAATTACAGATGGTATAGTACTCTCAAAATGTTTTTGTACAAAAAAATTCTTAATTCCGCTACCCCAAAGGATGTATCTTGGTTTATTTTCCCTTAGTTTTTGTTTGCTGTGCAGTTCATGCTTTTTCTCACAAAGTTGTGGTCACGCTGTGTATATAATTTTGCTTCTTCCTCTTCTAAACTTTACATTACAACTATGAATTCTTGAATTTCAGATACACAGGTCACAGTTTTATTTGTTGATTATCATTCATATATGATTTTTTATATATATATATAAGTAGTACAACAATTTCACCTCAAATTGTTTTTTACTCCAGGGTAAGAATTAAGTGATTGAGATAAGTTTAGAATGTTCTTGCATTTACATTCTTTGAAATTGTATTTTTCCAGTAAAGTCCCTCTATTTTTGATATGAAATTCTTAAACAGTTGGCTTTTTTATGACAGTAACCGCATAGATAAGTCCCAAAACTCTCCCCTAGGTGATGTTACCTATCTGCTTGAGGACCTGAGGGAACAAACTCTGCTTACATAAATTCTAAGGATAGTTTGCCCATTCCTTTAGCCATCTGTTATCATTTATTTTTGTTCTCATGGTAGTTGCTAATTGCATTTATAACATTATGTGTTGTCCTAGTAAATAGGTTTTCTCCCCTGGACTATGAGAGAGAGGTACAGGCCCAGCAACCCAAGGTGACATAACAAAGCCAGTGATACATGTAGAAATGGATTCCTTTTCAAACTTTCTGTAGTGTCCAAGGACATTTGTGATAGATTCCTTTTCTAATGAAGCAACATAATTTTTCACCAAGCTCTTGGGAGAGTACAATATTGGTTTTAAAATAACATATCAGGGGCCGGCACCGCAGCTCAATAGGCTAATCCTCCGCCTAGCGGCGCCGGCGCACTGGGTTCTAGTCCCGGTCGGGGCCTGGATTCTGTCCCGGTTGCCTCTCTTCCAGGCCAGCTCTCTGCTGTGGCCCAGGAGTGCAGTGGAGGATGGCCCAAGTCCTTGGGCCCTGCACCGCATGGGAGACCAGGAGAAGCACCGGGCTCCTGGCTTTGGATCAGCGCGGTGTGCCGGCCGCAGCGCGCTGGCTGTGGCAGCCATTGGGGGGTGAACCAACGGCAAAAGGAAGACCTTTCTCTCTGTCTCTCTCTCTCACTGTCCACTCTGCCTGTCAAAAAAAAAAAAAAAAAATGCAGTATCAAGCAGTTATCGTATTATATGCAAAACAGATAAGTGAACATGTATTTGCCAAAGATATACTAATGTGGGAGTAGAAAGTAGAAAGGCAAGGACCATGGAACAGGTTATTTTGAGCTTCAGACAATGAACTGAATGAAGTTCACACAGATAATAAGTATAACAGCAAAAGTTTATTATAGGAAAGTACGAAGTATACTTCTTACAAGAATAAAAGTGGGGCCGGCGCTGTGGTGTAGAAGGTTAAGCCTCCTCCTGCAGTGCCAGCATCCCATATGGGTGCTGGTTCAAATCCTGGCTGCTCCACTCCAATCCAGTTCCATGCTAACACACCTCGGAAAAGCAGCAGAAGATGGCCTGAGTGTGTGGGCCCCTGCACCCATGTGGGAGACTCAGAAGAAACTCCTGGCTTCAGGCTGGCCCAGCCCCAGCTGTTGCAGCCATCTGGGTAGTGAACCAGTAGATGGAAGACCTCTTTCTGTCGCTGCCTCCCCACCCCCAAGTCTCTGCCTTTCAAATAAATATAAAAGAGTAGATGTGAGCCAGGATTCAAAGCTCAGATTGAGGCTGAGACTTGGGGCCCCAAATGTGAAAATTATATTTTTATAAGGATGAAGGGCCCTTAGTGCAGCTGTGAAAACAACTGGGAAGAGTTTTGAAATTTGTTTTTCACAGCTTCCCGAGTTAACTAAGCATCTCCTGCCTCACATAGCATCACTGTTCATTGTTGCTAAAAATTACTACTACCCCAATACCCATCAGTGCTACAATGGACATGAGAAACATGGTTTACACAATGGAATACTACCACTAATGAGAAGGAATGAAATCAGCTGCAACATAATGCCTTGGATGGATCTCACAAATACAAAGTTGAACAAATAAAATCAGATGTCAAAGGATAAATGTACAATTTCATTTCTGTAGAGCTCAAAAGCAGCCAAAGCTCCTCTGTGTCGCTGCACTTCAGGATGGTGGTTACCCTCAGGGAGGCAGTACTGCAGGATGGCCTTAGGAGGGCCCCTGGGGTGCTGGGCATGGCTTGCTTGTGAAAACTCATCAACCTCTATCTTGATGATTTGTGTACTTTCATGTGTTTGTGAATCAAATTAAAATTTTTTAACAGTTTTAAGAAGAGGACAAGATTACTCAATGTGGCATTATGGTGGTTGTAAAATACTAGAAAAAAATTAAGTGTACACACACAGGGAATTGGCTAAGTAACCTGTGGGACATCCATACAATGGAGTACTGTGCTACTATAAGAAAGAGTGAGGGGCAGGTGTTTGACATAATGGTGAAGATGCCACTCAGACACCGCATCCTGTACTGAACTGCCTGGGTTTGAGTCCCAGCTTTGCTACTAATTCTGACTTCTGGCTAATACATATCCTGGGAAGCCAAAGTTGATGGTAGTTGAGTCCTTGCAACCCATATGAGAGACTTGGCCTGAGTTCCCGGCTCCTGGGTTTGGCCTGGCCCAACAATGGCTTTTGCAGGCGTTCTGGGAATGAATTGGGATGGGAGTTCTCTCTTCTGTTTCACTCTGCCTTTTAAATAAATAAAATATATTTTTAAGTGTTTTTTTTTAATTACCAACGACATTGTCTGCTAGCTGCTATGATTTGCAGAATATAATTTTTTAAAAGTATGAAAAAATATATATGGGATCTGTTACCTTTAAGTTAGAAAATAAGTGTAAATAAAATATATCTGCTTAATATTTCAAATATTTGGGAATGAGGTGGGTTTTGGGGAATGGTGAGAAGTAACATTTGTCTGAGTGTTTCCCCAACAAATAGAAATAAACTCTAGGGCTCAGTGTTGTGGCACAGGGGGTTAAGCCGCTGCCTGGAATGCCAGCATCCCATATGAACATTAGTTCAAGTACCAGCTGCTCTACTTTTTTTTTTTTTTTTTTTTTTTTTTTTAAGATTTATTTATCGGAGCCAGTGCAGTGGCATAGTGGGTAAAGCCACTCCCTGCAGTGTCGGCATCCCATGTGGGCACCGGTTTGAGTGCTGGCTGCTCCACTTCTGATCCAGCTCTCTGCTATGGCCTGGGAAAGCAGTGGAAGTCGGCCCAAGGCTACACCTGTGTGGGAGACCCAGAAGGAGCTCCTGACTTCAGAACAGTCTAGTTCCGGCTGTTGCAGCCATTTGGGGAGTGAACCATCGGATGGAAGACCTCTCTTTCTTGACCTCTCTGTAACTCTGCCTTTGAAATAAATAAATCTTTAAAAAATTAAAAAATTAAAAAAAAAAAAAGGAAGACAGCAGAAGGTGGCCTAAGTACTTGGGCCCCTGCAACCACATAGGAGACCTGGAACAAGTACTGGTCTCCTGGCTTTGGCCTGGCCCAGCCCTAGCAGTCAAGGCCATTCGGGGAGTGAACTAGTGGATAGAGTGAACTAGTGGATAGAGCTCGCTCTCTTTCTCTCTTTCTCTCTGTCTCTCCCCATCTCTCTGTAATTTTGACTTTCAAATAAGAAAATATTAAGAAAAAAAGGTTTAATTATTTGAAAGGTGGAGTTGCAGAGAGAAAAAACAGATCCTCCATCTACTGGTTCACCCCTCTAAAATGGCTGCAGTGGCTGGGGCTGGGCCAGGCTGAAGCCAAGAGCCAGGAACTCCATCCAGATCTCCCAAATGGATGAAAAGGGCCCAAGTACTTGGATCATCTTCTGCAGTTGCTCATGTGGGATACCTAGATGGAGTTCCAGGCTTATGGCTTCAGCCTGGCCCAGCCCTGGCTGTTGGAGCTTTTTGGGGGAGTGAATCAGCAGATGGAGGATCTCTCTCTGCCTTTTAAGTAGATAAATAAATATTTTTTAGAAAGAATAAAGGGAATTCACATTGTGACATAGTGGGTAAAGCCACTGCCTGCAACACCAGCATCCCGTATGGCCACCGGTTCAAGACCCGGCTGCTTTTTTTATTTAGGATTTATTTTTATTATTATTTGAAAGTCAGAGTTACACAGAGAGAGGAGAGGCAGAGAGACAGAGACAGAGAGAGAGGTCTTCCATCCTCTGGCTCACTCCCCAAGTGGCCGCAACAGCTGGAGTTGCACTGATCTGAAGCCAGGAGCCAGGAGCTTCTTCTGGGTCTCCCACTCAGGTGCAGGGACCCAAGGACTTGGGCCATCTTCGACTGCTTTCCCAGGCCATAGCAGAGAGCTGGATCAGAAGTGGAGCAGCTGGGACTCAAATCGGCGCTCATGTGGAATGCCTGCATTGCAGGCAGCAGCTTCACCTGCTACACCACAGTGCCAACCCCACAGCTGCTTCTAATACAGCTCCCTGCGAATGCACCTAGGAAAGCAATGGAAGATTTCTCAAGTGCTTGGGCCCCTGCACCCACATGGGAGACCCAGAAGAAGCTCCTAGCTCCTGGCTTTGGTCTGACCCAGCCCCGGCTGTTGCGGCCATTTGGGGAGTGAACCAGCAGATGGAAGATCTCTCTAGACTCTGTCTCTTCCTCTCTCTAACTCTGCCTTCCAAATAAATCTTTTTAAAAGAAAAAAAAAAAACTAAAATAGAATGCAAATAAAAATAAACCTTACTGTATTTCAGAGGAGGAGACAAAATTAATCAAATCACTTGAGCATAGTGTTTTGACTCTGTGCCCTTAGTCTAAACCAAACTTTAAACAAATGCTAAACTCTAATTAGTAGGACTTTTCCCTATAGTACAGCATGGATTAGCAATGCTGAAATTCTTTGCATATATTCTAAGACTGAGCAAGTAAGTAAATAAATGTAATGAGGATTATGGAAGTCGGATTTCTCAGTAAGAGTGAAGGATGTTATAAAGAGGAAAATAGAGTAAACCCTGTGTTGTTAGGTTGGATTAGGTAGAATCAGTGTGAATTTATGGTTTATTTTGTTACGATTGGTGTGTCTGTGCCTGTTGAGAGAGTCTAGAAGCAATGATACCCTACTAGCAAAGAACTCATCTTGGTCCCTAAACACTTCTCCAGTAAAAAGAAGCAGAGTTCCTTGAAAAAGACTGATCTCGGACTTAAAGGAGAGAAGGTAGAAGATAAGCCTGGACCATCTTATTCCTGCAAAGTAAAATATTCCCCAAAATGATGGGGACATGTCAAAAGGAGCCAGCTTGACAGAGTTCCCACTGGCTACATCTGTAAATAGTAAGACACTATAACCCATAGGATAAAATAAGAAGCCATGAGTCCCTGCTGATACTAATGAATTCCTTTTTTAAGGGAAAGTTCTTCCTTATAGTAAATGCCAACTAATAAATATAGAAGGAATGATAGGATTGAAAAACACCATTTGGCAACATCACAGTAATTGAGACAGACAAGAATTGTCAATGGATGCTAAAACTGGTAGGTAAAAGTTTGATGACAAACAGAATCTTTACATTGCCTCAAAGTATATCTTCACAAATACACATTAATTACAAAGGAGAAATCCCTCACTGTGAAGAAATCTGGAGCTACTTAACCAAGTTACCAAATGTAGCATCACCAGCAGTGGGACCGTCAGTATCCCGTGCCTTCCAACAGTGAGGCAGAAGGAACTCAGCGTTGCTTTTGTGTAGTCCTGCCAAAAACATACGATTTCGGTATGATCGTCAGGAGACAGACAGACTCATGTTGAAGATTATTACACAAAATAATTGGCTGGTACACCTCAAAAATACCAAGGTCATGAGCACCTGAGGCACTGTTTCAGATACAGGTATCCAAAGAGACGTGACAACCAAGTGTATTCAGGGTGAAGTGGCTGTGCATAGGATGTTGTTGTGACTGTTGGTCTAATGTGAATATTAAAAGTTAAGAAAAATTAACTGAAAAAAAAAAAAACCTGTTACGAGGAAAAAACCTTTGAAGGTAAGAGTGAGCATCATTTTAGTTATAAATGCTAGTTTATAAAATCAGATCTGAAGATAGGGCACAAACACACATAGGAATAATAGCCTTATGAATAGTCATCTCATGTTTCAATCGTCTGTGTTCAGCTTGCTCCAGACCAGGGCCTCCAGCCTGCAGATCAGCCGACAGACATGAGACGCAGGTGCGAGGAAGAAGCACAAGAAATTGTTCGGCATGCAAATTCTTCAACAGGACAGCCCTGTGTGGAAAATAAAAATCTAACAGACTTAATTTCCAGGCTTACTGCTATTTTATTGCAAATTAAGGTAAATTTCAGAGAAATTATTTTCTTAATTTTGAAACTAACTATGTTGTTGAGATTATAATCCATGGATTGTGTCAGGTATTTTGTGTCTGTATTTGAGCTGTAATTCAACTCAGTCTCAAAATGTTTTTTTACTTCAGTGTCTAGCGGAAGGAGGAGACCTGAATTCCTTTGAATTCAAATCACTTACAGATTCATTAAATGATATCAAGAGTACAATCGATGCTTCTAATATCAGGTAATCCCTTAGGTACACTCTAATCATTTTTGTGTTAAATTCATAGTGATTTTCAGTACAAATCTTAAGAATTATGCATATTGGCTGGCGCCGCAGCTCACTAGGCTAATCTTCTGCCTGCAGTGCCGGCACCCCGGATTCTAGTCCCAGTTAGGGCGCCGGATTCTGTCCCAGTTGCTCCTCTTCCAGTCCAGCTCTCTGCTCTGGCCCGGGAAGGCAGTGGAGGATGGCCCAAGTGCTTGGGCCCTGCATCCGCTTGGGAGACCAGGAGAAGCACCTGGCTCCTGGCTTCAGATCAGCACAGTGCGCCAGCCGTGGCAGCCATTTGGGGGGTGAACCAAAGGAAGGAAGACCTTTCTCTCTGTCTCTGTCTCTCTCTCACTGTCTGCCTGTCAAAAAAAATGCGTATTTGTGAAGTATTCATATATTTTTATATTTTAAATATATTTTAAAAGAGCTTTTCAGTCTATAGACAATAGAAATTTCACAGAATTTTTTATGTTGAGAATCAGGAGACAGACTATTTACATTTGGGGTTAGGATGGCAGTTCAGTGTAGCAATAGAGCCGCCCCGGCCTGAGGGTCGTCCTCTCTTTCTAGCGCCCCTGTGGCTCCTTTGCTTCTTCAGAGCATGCTGTTTCAACTGCTGCTAAAGTAGAATTATGGCTGATGTGTAAGAAATTTATTCCTTCCCTGAGATTTATCTTAGCTATTTTTCTTAACTAAAATTTAGCTTTTCTTTTTAAAAAAATTGTTCTTAATTTTGTGAAATAAAGTAGTTAACCATGTTTCTTCTTTCTTTAGTTGCTTTCAGAATAATGTAGAAATCCATGTTGCACATATTCAGAGTGGCTTGAGCCAGATGGGAAACTTACATGCCTTTGCAGCAAATAACACCAACAGAGACTGAATGCAAGATGAATTATTCCAACTGCGTAGGACATTGTTTCTGAGAAGTTCTTCTCCTTTGTATAGGCTTCCAACACCAAATAATCTAACTGCTGGAGAACAAGGGGGACTTCAGTCTCCAATAAGTCCTTTCAATGTACTGTACTGCTTAAACCAGCATTGCTAGCCAGACTATATTAATTTATCTTTTATTACTCAGATACAGTAGCATTGCTTATGTTACATATGTTTATTAGCAAGTATTTTTAAACTGAAAATGTCTGAACATAATATAATTTTATGGAAGAAAATGACCATTTTTTTTAATGTGCATGAATTCAACCCAACACATGCAGGCAATCCTGCATTGGAGAACATGAAGAAACCTGGTCTTTATGTGCATGTTGGTGGCAATGTGGAAATCCCACCTGGAAAACTAACTCCGGCTGATTTAGTTGCTCACCATCTCAGTCTTCAGAAGATAACACCATGAGGTGTAGGAAGTCCTAGTTTTAAGGAAGCCACTGGAATATAGATGGGACGTATGAACTTTACAAGAATATTGGATATATACTTGGAATGTGACATGGTTCTGTAGATCATTTTATAATAATATTTTAATTTATCATAATTTATAAAAGAAACTTTTGTTGTTTGTGAAAGAAAATGAAGGAGCAGGAAAAACCATTACTGCATAATGCTGATTTCCAGAGTGGATCTGGCGTGTCTTTTCCCGTTGATTCAGGGCAAAAAGTGCTATTGTTAGGAGATTTAGTAAGATATAAAAGACTGATAACACACTATTTTCATATTTTTTGTTTATTTGCACAACTTTTAAACCAGATTACTGGTTAAAATCCAACAGTACACAATTTATAAAGTAAAAAGATTTTATAAGGAAAACAAATATAATAACCAGTGCTGTGAAATGCAGAAGAGAGGTTTGGTTTTGGTTGTTTTGTTTTCTTGTGTGTGTCTTTTTTTTTTTTTTAAAGGAAACCCCTGCCTAAAATGTTAATCTTGTAAAAACATATGTATTTGTAATTTTCTTTGTTTTAATATAGAATATTATAAAGTCAAAAATATAAATTGTTTTCAGATTTGGAGTTTCAGATAGGGCTGTAGCAGTGGTTTTAATTCTTTTAGATGTCTCATAAAATGAGACTTTTATATATGTTAATGTATGATAAAACTCAAACAAGATTATTTTCCATTTGAAATTTTTGTATAGTTTAAAAATGCTTCTGTATTCTTTGTTGGTATTGTGCCACTGCAGAACTGTAGTGCAGAGTTTATATTGAGCTAAGCTGTTATGTTAACTAAGAAATGCATAAATCTTTTATTCTTAATATTTGTAATTCTAAATAAATTGATCTATGAAAATTATTGTCTATGTTCCTCATTTGATTAACATAAGTTGATAAGTATTCCTTCTATTTAAAAAGTTTGAATTGTATTTTCTATTAAATCATATTTTTAGGAAATACAATACAGATAAATTCGTCATTTTGAAGTATACCATTCAGTTTTAGGAAGGACTTTTTTTCCATCTGTGATCACTGCAAACAGTGAACCAAGTCACTTGGCTTGATATACACCCAGCAAAAGTTTGATTTCAGGGGCCAGCACTGTGGTGTAGCAGGTAAAGCTGCCGCCTGCAGTGCCAGCATCCCATAGGGCGCTGGTTGTAGTCCCAGCTGCTCCACTTCTGATCCAGCTCTCTGCTATGGCCTGTGAAAGCAACAGAAGATGGCTCAAGTCCTTGGGTCCCTGCACCCCTGTGGGAGACCTGGAAGAAGCCCCTGACTCCTGGCTTTGGATCAGCCCAACTCTACCTGTTGTAGCCATTTGGGGAGTGAGCCAGCAGATGGAAGACTCTCTTTCTTTCTCTCTCTCTCTCTGCCTCTCTGCCTCTCTGTAACTCTGACTTTCAAATAAAATAAAAAAGAAACAAAAAAGTGCTTGATTTTAATACATTCTGCCTAAAATCAGGTGTTTTGTTCATTTTTACTTTGATATTGCTTAAGACTCATCTGTCATGCTTAAATAGTATGTCATTTTACACATATTTAATTGAGCACTAATTATCTTTCAGTGCCATCGTGTGTTAACAGCAGGAACTGTCCCTAAGAATTTACTTGAGTTTTCTTTCTGTCTAGGGGGAAAGAAATCTATATGATTCAGTGTAGTCATTTTGAGTGAGCTGGACATTGATTTGAATGATGCTGTTCCTGATTAACACATTTTTGGGAGCTCTGAAAAAAGCTGTCAAGGCCAGATTGAGCAAACAATCAGTCATGCACATGCTTTTTATTTATATAGATTTGGTTCTGAGTTTTTAAGCTAATTACAAAAATCATATTCACTTGTTACCACTGAGAATCTGCAAAAAGATTGGCCTGTTAATTTTTTTCTCTGGAATCCATGCACCTCTCTGCCTCCTCATTACCACCACGCCTTGCAGTCCAGCTGCCATCATCATGAACCAGGAACACTACTTATTAAAAAAAAAAAAAAAAAAAAAAGGCCGGTGCCGCGGCTCAACAGGCTAATCCTCCGCCTAGCTGCGCCGGCACACCGGGTTCTAGTCTTGGTCGGGGCACCGGATTCTGTCCCGGATTCTGTCACCCGCATGGGAGACCAGGAGAAGCACCTGGCTCCAGCTGCGGCGGCCATTGGAGGGTGAACCAACGGCAAAAGGAAGACCTTTCTATTTGTCTCTCACTGTCCACTCTGCCTGTAAAAAACAAACAAACAAACAAAAAAAAACCCTGACAGGATGAGATGCTGGGGAGATGTCAGTTTTTTTTGTTAATACATTGGGTTTTTTTGTTTGTTTATTTGAAAGATTTATCTATTTGAAAGAGTTAGAGGCAGAGAGAGAGATCTTCCATCCACTGGTTCACTCCCCAAATGGCCTCAATGGCCAGAGCTAGGCTGATCTGGAGCCAGGAGCTTCTGGGTCTCCCACGTGTGTGCAAGGCCCAAGCATTTGGGCCATCTTCTACTGCTTTCCCAGGCCATAGCAGAAAGATGGATCAGAAAAAAAGTGGAGCAGGGGTGGGCACTGTGGTATAATGGGTAAAGCCACCGCCTGCAGTGCTAGCATCCCATGTGGGCACTGGTTTGAGTTCTGGCTGCTCCTCTTCTGATCCAGCTCTCTGCTATGGCCTGGGAAAGCAGTAGAAGATGGCCCAAGTTCTTGGACCCCTGTACCTGTGTAGGAGACCTGGAAGAAGCTCCTGGCTCCTGGCTTCAGGTTGGCCCAGCTCCAGCTGTTGTGGCCATTTGGGAAGTGAATCAGCGGATGGGAAGCTCTTTCTCTCTGCCTCTAACTCTTCCTTTCAAATAAATAAATCTTAAAAAAAAAGGGCAGAATTGGTCATTGAATCTGCATCTATAAATGCCTTTAAGTCTTCTTAGGACTCAGGACAAATTCAGAACTCTTAAAAGATTTATTTTATTTGAAAGGCAGATTTAGGGAGAGACAAATTCAGAACTCTTTTCAAGACCCCCCAAGGTCATCTGTGATCTGGTCTCGCTCCGTCCGCCTGCTCCCTCCACAGGCTGGGCTCCAGTTCTCCTGGGTAGTTCGTGATCATCCCAGAGATCTTCCCTCCAGCATCCCCTTCAGGAAGCTGTCCTTGACTGCAGCACACTTCCTATTAGTGTCCCCAGGTCACGCGCCTCTCTCTCTAGCACTTGCTGTGTTTGCCATTTTGTTTCTTGGAATGATGTGCTGCCTCCAGTGCTGGCCTCTGCTGTATGAGAGCAGGGACTGGTTCTGACTTTGCTCACTTTTATTTCCAGGTCCTGGTAAAGAGCCTGTTCCTGGTCACCAAATGAAATTTGTGCAATGCATGCATAAATGGGTTTCAGGAGAGCTTAAGTATGGTCTGCCTTGGTGGCTGCTTTACAAGATGGGACTGTTCTCTCACTTGCAGAAATTCTGCTTTGGGGGTTGCTGTTAAACCTATCACTTCATCATTAATCATGACTAAAAAGGTCACTCTATCTACAGGCATTGTATGGTGGTGGTTTTATGGGTGAGCTGAGTTAGCCTTGGGTTTGAGTTCTGGCCATTGCTGTTTAAGCTGTACGATTGTGAACCACTACTAGTTGCTTCACAATGGTTAAGATGGGAGTAATCCCTGTCTTACATGGTAGGTGTGGGGATAAAAATAGGCCTGTGACATGCTGAATCATTAGGGCCTCTTAGCGTCTGAGAGGGGTGTAGACTTCCTGTTCAAGAGGCTCCCATTGTTTGTCAAAATTAAAGACGTGACAGCAGGATCGAAATACAGACCTTGTAAGTGGCTCATGGGGAAAAATAAGTAAATTTCAAGATGTATTTTTAAATGTGATTCTTGTGAACCATAAATCTTTATAAAGTGTTGTCTGTTGGTCTTGTGCATTATTTGTATCTTCTCATTTGGCTGTGTGATGAGACCTGACCTCCGCACAGCAGGGCCTGAGCACAAGGTTTGGTACGTTGTGAGCACTGGGTAACCACTAATGTTGCGCTTTTCATCTGTGCTTTCAGACATACTTCAGAGAATTCAGACGACCAGCTTGTTAGGGGAGCCTGAGCTGCTGTGTGCTCTTTTTTATTGATAAATCTTTTTATTGAAACATTTATTTGAATGTCAGTTACACAGAGAAAGGAAGAGACAGATCTTCCATCCTCTGGTTCACTCCCCAATGGCTATACTGGCCAGGGCTAGGTCAGACCACAGCCAGGAGCCAGGCACTTCTTCCAGGTCTCCCACATAAGTGCTGGGGCCCAAGGACTTAGGCCATCTTCAGCGTTGCAGGCAGAAGTTTTACACATCATACCACAATGCCGGCCCCTCTCCGGCTTGCTTTTAATAATGAGTTTGTGGGGCCACTGCTGTGGGTAACAGATAAAGCTGCTACCTGCACTGCCGGCATCCCATATGGGTGCCAGTTCAAGTCCTGGCTACTGTACTTCCAATCCAGCTCTCTTCTATGGCCTGGGAAAGCAGCAGAAGATGGCCCAAATTACTGGGCTCCTGCACCTGCATTGGAGACCAGGAGAAGGCTCCTGGCTCCTGGCTTGGGATCGGTGCAGCTCTGGCCATTGCAGCCATCTGGGGAGTGAACCAGCAGATGGAAGACCTCTCTCTGCCTCTGCCTCTGCCTCTGCCTCTGCCTCTGCCTCTGCCTCTCTGTAGCTCTGCATTCAAATAAATAAATAAATCTTTTTAAAAAAAGATTTTTCTGCTCTGAAAAGTGGAAACCACTTGAACATCTCTAATAAAATTTAGACAACTGACATTGTCAAGAGTATGTCCAAAAGTTCATGGAGTCATTAATAGCTGTTTATTTTAATACAAAAAATTGTTAATCCATGATGTAATTTTTTCATAACACATTTCCATGATATTTTTAAGCCCCCTAGTACACTCTCTGAGACACTGAGCATAGCGCAGGTTCTTCAGTAACCATTGAGACAAGATGCCTTGGCCCTCGCCTGGGCTTCCCAGGCGCCTTCCTTGAAGTGCAGTTACCCAGAAACCTCAGCTGTGGTTACCTCATGCTCGGTTCCCTTTGACCCTTAGGAGTTTGAAATCCTTCAGATTTAGTTGATCTTGGGCTAACTTAGAGTGATTTGCATACATGAAGAGTTATAGATTAAGAAAGAGAAGTCTTAAAAGCAGAACTTTCATGAATGTTACTAAACTTTGGACAAGCAAACCTATGCTCTTAACCAAATTCGGTTTCTCAGCACAGTGGCCAGCTGATATGGTAGTGATTACTGGTGAGGCACTGTACTAAGAGCTATCTAAAGGATGGAATTGGAGTGACCCGAACTCGCGCGGCTGGCACCGGGAGCCTCCTCAGCAAGCCCAAGAGTGGGATGACCCCCGAGGAGGGGCAGAAGCGGGATAAGGAGGAATTTAACACGGGCCACGCGTTCTGCTCACGCGGTCGGTCAAGAACAACCCCCGGGTGCTCATCAGCTGCTGCAGCAACAGGAAATCCTGGGCCGCGTGAAGGCCTTCGACAGGCCCTGCAGCCTGGCGCTGCAGAACCTGGAGGAGATGTGGACCGGGATCCCCGAGAGCAGCAAGGGCAGGGAGAAGTCCAAGCCGGCCAGCGAGGACCCGTACATCTCCAGGATGTTCCTGCGCGGGGACTCGGTCATCGTGGTGCTGCGCGACCCCCTCATCACCGGCAAGCAGGGGCCTCTCCCGCCCCCGAAGACCTGCCCCGCACCCTGGGGTTAATAACGCCCCGTGTTTTATTCTAAAATAAATAAAAAATAAAGGATGGAATTGACTTCAACAGAATTACACTGAAGCTTTTGTGAAGAACATTTAATATCCATTCAAGTTGCCCAGGAAGTACAATACCAAGTGCTAAGGATAATGTTGGAGTGATCAAAGTGACAGGTACAACATCAGGATTAGAGATGGCTTCAAAAGCAGAACCAGGTCAAAGCAGTGGGGAGGGGCGGGCCAGTGGAGAGGGTCTCGGGCGTTTTGAAGGAGAAAGGTAGTTGTTTGGTCCAAAACTGGAAGTGGCACATACAGTGGGTAGGTGAACTGAAGACTTGTAGAAGTGTTCTGTAGGCTGAAGAGGATGTCAGGGTGGGTTGTGGGTCAACACACTGCATCCCACGTTGCAGTGCCCGCATTCGGGTCCCGGCTTTGCTTCTTCTCCTTTTTTTTTTTTTTTTTTTTTAATTTGACAGAGTTAGACAGTGAGAGAGAGAGACAGAGAGAAAGGTCCTCCCTCTGCTGGTTCACCCCCCAAATGGCCTCTATGGCCAGCACTGCGCCAATCCGAAGCCAGGAGCCAGGTGCCCCTTCCTGGTCTCCCATGTGGGTGCAGGGCCCAAGCACTTGGGCCATCCTCCACTCCCTTCCCGGGCTACAGCAGAGAGCTGGACTGGAAGAGGAGCAACCAGGACTAGAACCCGGCGTCCATATGGGATGCCAGCGCTGCAGGCGGAGGATTAACCACATGAGCCACAGCGCCGACACCCCCCGCCCCGCCAAGCTTTGCTTCTGATTCCAGCATTTCTGCTAATGCTGGGAGGCAGCGGGTGATGGCTCAAGTACCTGGGTCCCTGGCACCCACGTGGGAGGCCCAGATGGAGTTCCTGGCTCCTGGCACTTGGGAAATGAAACAATAGATGAAAGATCTCTCTGTCTCTGACTTTGAAACAAAATAGCAAACTCTTTAAAAAAAAAAAAAAAGATTGATTGATTGATTTGAAAGGCAGAGCTACAGAGAGGCAGAGGCAGAGAGAGGTGTCTTCCACCCACTGGTTCACTCCCCAAATGGCTGCAACAGCTGGAACTGCACCTATCCGAAGCCAGGAGCTTCTTCCGGGTCTCCCACATGGGTGCAGGGGCCCAAACAGTTGAGCCATCTTCTGCTATCCCAGGCCATAGCAGAGAGCTGGATCGGAAGTGAAGCAGCCAGGACTAGAACCGGTGCCCATATGGAATACGGGTACTGTAGGTGGTGGCTTTACCCACTACATCACAGCACCAGCCCCTAATAATAAACTTTTTAAAAGACGATGGTGTTGATTATCTGGGAGAGCAAAGATTTCTGTAATTTGATGACAACTGGCAGCTACTACAAACTGACTCTTTGAAATAACCTGGATGCTAAGCCAACGGCGCCATGATTGAGTGTGAAGACAATGGGCACAGTTTTCTGGAAAGTAAGAGTGGGGAGGTTGGGTAGACATTGGACAAAGAATACAAATTTTGGTGATACAGGAAGCATAAGTTCAAGAGACCTATTGTATATCATGACCATAGCAATATATTCCATATGTGAGAATTGCTAAGAAAGTAGATTTTAAGTATTTCCACAACAAAAATCAGTGTGAGGCAATGCATATAATAAATAGGTTGATGTATCCATTCTACAGTGTATGCATACGTGTTGTACATCATAAACGTACATACGTCATAAATACATATATAATTTTTACTTGACAGTTGAAAAAATAAAACGCTCAAAGAAAAGCAATCTTGGTGCTCCGCATAGGGTAGGGAGATGGAGCGAGAGTTTAAGTCCTGATCCCTGGGGAGACCAGGAAGAGATGGCCTCTGAGGGGAAGTCAGAGGACCGGATTCTGACGTGTCTCCCCGCTGTCAGTCGTGGCTCCTTGGAGCTTTCCCTGAACGCTCCCAGAATCCTCAAAAGTTACCAAAGGCAGAGAAGATGTGTTCCTCCCATGAGTCCAGCTTGGGTCCGATGTCTGCAGAGAGAGGGGAGTAGTTCTGGAAATTCTGGCCTTGGGAGCTCGCGTGCGAGACGCCCCCTCCCACGCGGCTGGGATCCGGCAGGCAGTTCACGTCCGCCTCCAGGGGCAGCTGGGGCTTCACACACTTGGATCCCGCTGCAGGAGCGCAGGGGCTGGGGACCAGCTCCTGCCCCAGGGAAGGCTGGAAGGACTTCCCGCTCTGACGCCGGGACTTGGCACGCCTGTTCTGGAACCACACCTGGAAGGAGGGAGACAGAAACTGCTTCGGATTACCCAGATTGCATTTCTGCCCCTAAATCGTTACTACCTCCCCACAAACACTGAAGGTTTCCTTAATTAGGGTGCCTCAAGGCCCACTGTTGAACCTGGCAGGGGCAGGCGCCTGCCACAGCAGTTAGCGAGCTGCTTGGGCTGCCTGCGCCCGGGATCGGAATCCTTTGGCCTGAAGCCTGCCTTCACTTTCCACCCAGCTTCCTGCTGAGGGTTCCCTGAGAGGCAGCGGATGACGGCTCAGGAACTTGGGGCCTCTGCCACCCATGTGAAAGACCTGGAGAGAGCTCCAGACCGGGAGTGAGCCGGCAGGTGGAAGATACCCGTCTCCCCGCCTTTGAAATACAATGAAAATAAATGTAAATATAAAGATAGAAATGGGCAGCTGCATGACTCCCAAGGGTGCAGAATAGAAACAAGCCTACCCTGTCCTCATGTGAAATGAGGGCTCCTGCTTCAAACCACACGTGGACAGGACCAGGCAAAGAGACAGCCTCCACGACTGGGATCTCCATTACTCTAGATAACAAGTGCAGTTTGCACCACGCTTCGCAAACTGTGCCAAGAAGGCCCAGATGTTTCAGACTTTACCCGAAATGCCACACATCCTTCCAGACCAAAATTCCACGCAGGAACACCTGCCTTGTGGTGTGGGGGCCAGTAGGTAATTCGGAAAGCCCGCCCTCCCCTCTCGGAGCCACCATTCCCAAACCCAAAGCCAGAGCGAACTCCAACCGCGCCTCATCTGTGTCTTTCCTGAATCAGAAAAAGCGTAAAAATACTTGCTGGGCTAGCCTAGTTAGTATTACTACGTACTAACTAATGAGAGATCCAAGTCATTGCGTGCGTGAAGTACGTCATTTCACACAAACAGCTTGTGCAACAGGTACCCACCTCGTCCCCATTTTACAGCCCGGAAAATGGAGGCCCAAGGGAAACAACTCGCCCAACGTCCCTCAAGTCAGAGAGAATCAGGGGTTTGTGGCCAATAAGCCTGGGAATCCCGGCTCTGACGCGCGCCCCATCCACCCACCCCCGCCTCTAGGCCGAGGCGCACCTGCGAACGCGGCGGGCCGCTCACCTGGATCCTGGATTCGGGGAGCAGGGTGAGCGCCGCCAGGCGCTCGCGCAAGTGGATGTCGGGGTACATGGTCTGGCGGAAGACAAGCTCCAGAAGCTGCAGCTGCTCGGGGCTGAACGACGTGCGCTTGCGGCGCTGCGACACCGAAGGGGCGGCCGCGCCTTTAGGGGGCGCCGGCGAGCCCAGGCTGGGGGCCGGCGGCGCGGCGGGCCCGGGTTCCCTGCCGAGAAAGCCCGCGAAGGGCGCGGGGGCTAGGCGCTCTGAGCCCGGGCCCGCGGGGAGCAGGGCGGACCCCGGGCCCGGGGGTGGCGGGAAGGCCCCGCCGGCGTGGGCAGGCCGGTATACGGGGAACGAGGCGGCGTCGGGGAACTGGAGCGGGCGGGACCCTGCTGCGGCCATGGCTCCGAGCCCAGTGCAACGCCGCCGAGGGTCCAGCCCCAGTTATACGGGCCCGAGCCCGAGGGAGGGGGCTGGCGGTGGCGGCGCCATCAAAGCAGTGGGCGCGGGGAGGCCCGTGTCTCTTTGGGGTGCGAGCCCTCCCCCGGCCCCGCCAGACGCCGGTGGGAATAATCGCTTCCGCTGGCCATGGGATGGGGAGGGAGGCGCGAACTTGGGCCCGGGCCCCTCCGTCCCCTCCCCCGCCCATCCCCCGGGTCGGCCCAGCCACCGCAATCAACATCTCCGAGAAAAGGTTTGCTCGGGGAGGGGCAGCCCACGGGGCCCTAGGACGCGGGGCCGCGCCTCCCTCCCCGCCCGGATCTTGCCCCCACCCTGGGCGGCCCGGAGCCTGGGGCTGCTCCTGGGTTCCGTCTGGCCCAGGCCTTGCGCCTGGCCCGCCGTCCCCGCCGTCGTCATCAAAGCCATTTATTTACCACCCCTGCTATGTGCTAGACCCTATACCAGGTGAGTCAAACAGCGCCGCTCCTGTGCACAGCAAACTTCCCCGACACATCCCGGATCAGCCTGGGCCGGGGGTGGAGATAGAGGGGCCTGGGAGCGCCCAGGCGCTGACCGAGTACCCCCGTTAGCAGCGCGCTGAGACGCCCCGCAGGGCTCACGCCGGGTCTAGCCAAGCGGAGCTGATAAAGGACTTCCACGCGGTTCCCACGCCCTCTGAAGGCATCGTCCTTTCTCAGCCTTTGCTGGCTGATGGAAGTCTCCCTCCGTCTCTTTGTGTCTCTGTCTTGGGTGCAGGGGTCAAAACTGGAAGTATTCTTGGAGCTGCTGCATTGAGCTTGGGACTTGAGTCTCTCCCTGCTGGGCTGGAGTGCCTACCTACCCCCTGCTTTCCCGTGGGCCACTCCCTCCCCTCTTCCGCTGTACCCCTTCTGCCACATCAGGTGGATTTCAGACCTAGAATGTATGGCATGGGAGTTCAGGTCTGCTATTTTTCTATTCCCATTCTTCTAACTCCTTGTTTCAAAAAACAATGGTGGCGTGTCCTTATGCTAGGATGGGCTTTCTCTGTGCTCTTGCAAAGCCAGTAGCAGGCAGTCCACGTCGATAGATTAGGAAATAGATCACAATCCAGGGGCCCAGGTGGCTTCCAGACGTGCCTCCGTGGTCACTACACGTGGCCTGTGGTCACTTGGCCCCTCTCCAGCCAGGGGCCCGTAAGGTTCCCATGGAGGCCTTAGCAACTGATGCGTTGCTGCAGCTGCGGGGCCTGGGGGCCAGCATGGCAGGGAACACAGATTTGCTGTCTGCTGGCTGCCAGCTGAAGCTTCACAGGCAGACTTGGCCTGGGCATCCCAGAAACTCTGTCTGGGGCTCCAAGGTCCTAGAAGTGCTCTGGTCTGTTTGTGTGGAACCCCCCCAGGGCCCTGTGTCCAAGCCTCATTGGTGTGCTTGTTGTGACGGGCCCTGAACCTGCCTGTTCTTCAGTGGGCCAGGGGAATGGGCGTGCGAAGACAGTGGGGGCGGTGGCTGCCTGCCCCCGGGGTGGAGCAGGCTTTTCCGTCTGCTAGAGAAATATCAGCGTGCCGTTTGAGATTTGGTAATCTCGCGACTGACGATACACATGTTCTTCTCTTCCCACTGTGTCCTGAGTGTTTGCTGTTGTGTTGTAAGCTTCTGTGTTGAGATGAGACTTCAGCCTGTCCGGGGTTTTCGTCCTTTGGCTCTCAGTGAAGTCTGGAGGGAGTGTGCTGGTGTGTGCTGAAGCCGTGGCCTTGCCAAGGGACGGCGGGAACCCAGGCTGGAGCTGGGGCGGGAGGGTTGCAGAGGGAGGTTTTCATGCCCTTCAGAGCAGCTGTATTAGGATTGTCAAATCATGTGCATGCATTGCTGTTTTGCATTTTGGAACTTGAGTTTTTTGATGACTAAATGCAATGAAGTGTTCTGGATTGGGTCCTGGAAAATGGAAAGGATATTAGTGGGAAAAACAAGAGAAATCTGATTAAAAGCAAATACTATTTTTTTATTTTTTAAAGATTTATTTTATTTATTTGAAAGAGTTACAGAGAGAAGCAGAGAGAAAGAGAGAGAGAGAGGAGAGGTCTTCCATCCGCTGGTTCACTCCCTGATTGGCCACAATGGCCAGAGCTGTGCTGATCTGAAGCCAGGAGCCAGGAGCTTCTCCAGGTCTCCCACGTGGGTGCAGGGGCCCAAGGACTTGGGCCATCTTTCACTGCTTTCCCAGGCCATAGCAGAGAGCTGCACTGGAAGAGGAGCAACTGGGACTAGAACCCAGCACTCATATGGGATGCTGGTGCCGCAGGCGGAACCTGGCTCCTGGCTTCGGAACGGCGTAACTCCAGCCATAGCGGCCATTTGGGGAGTGAACCAACAGGGGGAGAATTTTTCTCTCTGTCTCTCTCTCACTGTCTGTAACTCTACCTGTCAAATAAATAAATAAATAAATCTTTTAAAAAAGTGTGTATTATTGCAAGTTATCATCTCAAAATAATCTTTTTTTAAAGATGTATTTATATATTTGAAAGGCAGAGTTACAGAAAGGCATAGGCAGAGAGAGAGAGGTCTTCCATCCTCTGGTTCACTCCCCAGATGACCACAATGGCCGGAGCTGAGCCAATCCAAAGCCAGGAGCCAGGAGCTTCTTCTGTGTCTCTCACGCGGGTGCAGGGGCCGGAGGACTTGGGCCACCTTTTGCTGCTTTTCTAGGCCACAGCAGAGAGCCAGATTGGAAGTGGAACAGCCGGGACTCAAACCAGCGCCCATATGGGATGTGGCACTGCAGGCAGCGGCTTTACCAGCTACACCACAGCGCTGGCCCCAAAATAGATAATCTTGCAATGTAAGGCTTCATAAAGTGCTTTTCTCCAGAGAGGCATGTCAGTTTCAGAACCACAAACCGAAGTCCAGGGTCAGCGGGTGGCCCTTGTCCCTGGGACTGGGGTGTGGATTCCCCAGCTCCAGCAGCTGGGCTCGCCCAGCCCTTGGTGTGCTGCCAGCTTTGGTCCTGTTGGTCTGTCAGTGCTCTCTGTTGCTATAGACAGAAAGCAGGGCCAGGTGAGACGGAAGAGCCCTACAGGCTGGGTCAGGCCAGGGAAGACTGAAAGGCAGCAGGGGAAGAGTGCAAGTCGGTGGATGGAGGCCAGTCAGGGTCAGCGTCCTGCCCGGCGCCCTCAGCGTTTCCCACCGTGGCCCCTGGCCCTGACTCACCCAAACATCCTAGAGGCCTGCCTTTCCTCCCCAGGTGCTAAGTACTCTCTTCCCCGGGCTCTCTTTGTTGTTCCCCCAGGCCCCTCTGGCTGCTGGGAGCCGGCACGGGAGCCCTGGGTGTTTATTAAAGGGACAGCCAGGAAAAGGCAGCGGGGGAGTCAATGGCTCCACCTCCACCTCGGAGCTCCGCGGCTGGTTACCCTTTGATCCCTGCCTCCTTTGATTTCCTCTCCTGTCCTGCCCGGGCCTCTTGGGTTTCGGGGGTTTATTTCAGAACCAGGGGTTAGGAGACTGAAAGACAACACCCCCCCAAAAAAGGTATTCAAGTGACAGAAAAGTGATAAAACATTAAGAAGCCGTTTGTTGTAGTTTAGTCAGCACTACATCCGTTAAATAACAAACACAAAATAAGTTTTGACTCCAACACATTGAGGGTTTCTTTTTTAATGATTTCTTCTTCCAAAATTCTTTGTACCAAAGTCACTGAGTAGGGAAGACTCCTCTGTATGAGTCTTTCTCAGCCCTGATCCACGTGGATAACCAATAAAGTTGAAAGAACATTTCAACTCAGAGAAGGGAAAACATACGTCCCCCAAGTTCATGTCTACCCGCTTGAAGAACTGAAGCAACGAACAGAATGGTGCTCATCTCGTTCTGCAGCATGCCTGCTGCGCACTTGAAATGGGGGTGCTGTCACTGAGGAACTGAACGTTCGATTTTGCTTCACGTTAATTGATTTGCGTTTAAAGGGCCACGTGCACTTAGCAGTGCCCACCATCACCAGCACAGCCCTAGCCTATCATCTGGAAAATCACTGGTCATTGATAACTTTTTATGTGCAGGTGCAGAGACGTGGGCACTGATGCAACATCTTACACTAAATTTGAGTTCCAGACTCCCATTCTTAGTGTTTCGATAGAACTCAGGAGCATCAATAGTTACCTCATTTTATAGCAGTCTCAGGTGGACTCTGCTGAACAGTGTGTGAAATACTATTATAGGGCCGGCACCGCGGCTCACTAGGCTAATCCTCCGCCTTGCGGCGCCGGCACACCGGGTTCTAGTCCCGGTCAGGGCGCTGGATTCTGTCCTGGTTGCCCCTCTTCCAGGCCAGCTCTCTGCTGTGGCCAGGGAGTGCAGTGGAGGATGGCCCAAGTGCTTGGGCCCTGCACCCCATGGGGGATCAGGAGAAGCACCTGGCTCCTGCCATCGGATCGGCGCGGTGCACTGGCCGCAGCGGCCATTGGAGGGTGAACCAACGGCAAAGGAAGACCTTTCTCTCTGTCTCTCTCTCACACTGTCCACTCTGCCTGTCCAAAAAAAAAAAAAAATACTATTATAGCATGAATAGATGGTCTGTCTTCAAAAGCAAACATTTGAGGTCGCTTGCTGGTTAGAGGGCTATGATACTACAAGTTTCTTCAGCATTGGACTTGGCCCTCATTTAGCTGCGATCATCTTGTTTCCTTCGAACCACGTCGAAAAGCTGTTGTGCAAGTCCTCTGCCTCTGTGGGATGTGCCATGATATTGGGCTCGTGTAAATCACGTGTACCCTCCAAAGTGACGCCGGACAAGGCCAAGTAAAGACAGAGGTGTCAGGATAACACAGAACCGGCTTTCCTGCTTGGCAATAATTAATTAGTGTGTTAGCAGTCACCCAGCTCAATTCTGGACCCTGTCCCAGCCTGCAGGTAAGCAGTGTGTATTTCTAAAATACAGTCTTTTGTTGTATGGCCTGTCATAGGTGGGGGACATCCACGCAGCTAAAGTGCCACCCTGAATTATTCTAATCAAACCCAGATCCTTAGTGGATCTAGGATGTAATAGGACACTTTCCAGTGGATTCGAATCCATTTCAGTGTACACGAGGAAGAGGAGGTTTTAAAGAAATTGTGTTCTCAGACAATTGGGTACTTTGCTCTTTCAATAACCTGAGCCTTGTGTACTTGTTTTGATGGAAGAGGAAGTAACTTTGGCCTCCTGTTCTTTCCAGTTGAACTCACTGGATCTGAGTGCCAGCTCCAGCCCAGCTGCTCGGGGCACGGCTGTCTCTGCTCAGCCCCAAACTCAGCCCACTCCCATGGAGCACCCAAAGTACACTTTCACTTAGGGTTTACCACTGTACAAACAGTGCCTA